AGAGAGAGAGAGAGATATGATGATGATAATGATAATGATGATGATGATGATGAAGAAATTCGAATTAAGAATAAATTCCGAATTTTCTAAATATTTTTCTAAATATTTTTCAAAATATTCCGCAGGATCCTCGAATTCAGTCTTGTTACAATAATTGAAGGATTTAATTTGCGCTCTGTACTTACTCTTCAGTAGGGGAGTTGACGTGAAATTCTTCTCCGTGAGATTGTTACTGAATATAGACACATTGTTCCTTACGTCGGACAAATACATCATTCGAGTAGTATCGTCATATGCTACTCCGGTCAAAGAAACGGCTTCTCCAATGTTAGCATGGCCCATGAGCGTACTGTTACGAGCGAAAAAGTCGATTTCGTTGCCGATTACGACGGCTAAATCTGTAAAAAGAAGATCCAATGTAGAATCTGTCTTCAAGATAAATAAACTAATCAATTTTAGTCAAATAAAATCAGAGATTTTGGAGAAAAGTTGAATAATGTGATTTTAACAAATAAACATTTATCGATCTGATCGAGAAAATAAAAAATTAAAATCATGCCTTTGTAAATATGTGGAAATGGACTGCAAAACTATTGCAGTCTAAATTTAAAAACCATCGCTCTTGAGTTCATATCATTGCGATTAGTAGGAAAATGATCTATATCACAATTCATTATCCTGAATTACATTACGTAATCATTACGTCAAGTGTACCTTGTGTAGAGCACGAGATTATCAGTGATAATCTCGAGGAAAAATATCTCGAGGAAAAATATCTCAATGATAATATAATATATACTTTCGCGCCAATTTTCGAGAAACTACGATCGCATGGCGCACGCTACCTGAGAATCTATAGCGTTTTCCGCGTAAAACATTCGTTTCAAGGAACACTTCCTCCTCGATATATTTATCTGAAAATTTTTACGTTATTTTTACGTTATTCTTTCTAAAATAAAGATTTTATTTTCATTGCATTGTGCATTATACCTGCATTGCCAAATTTCTAAATAACAGCACAGAAAGAGTTTGACGCATGGCAATGACGAAGCATGTTTTAAGTGCTAGATAATAGAAATGAACGAACCACTTTAATTTCCAATATACGATTTCAGACTTGCTAATGAAAACACAAATTACAATTCTTACGAGCAAAGGGACGCGTCGCGTTTAGTATGTATAAATGCGATAGATAGTGGTAGTGATAGGATTAATAAGTAAGATAAACAGAAAAGAATCAGGTAAATAGATAACTAAAAGCTTTCTTAAATGCCACTTCCCTACGTGTTCACGTAGGCGTACTACTCGCAGATAAGATATTTCAGCTGCATTCTTCCCCGAACATTCAGCTGATGCAGTCTCTCCTTGAAACCTACTACAAACCCATCGCGTTATAAATCCAATACGGGAAAACGCCATGCTACAATTACGACACAGATTTGACGCACGTTGCGTGAAATTTCTGCGGGAAATAATTCTGATTCGTCAACTTCCACAAGAATTATCGCTCGCCAATGTAGATCAACAAATCGCGATCGAGCGATGTATTGGGTTCACCTGATTTTTTATGTGCTGGATTATCTCTCTCTCTCTCTCGCGACGGCGAGAAAGTAGCGTGATCACGCTGCGATTATCGCGTACGAAGAAACATTTCTAACGACTCTTCAATTCAGTGTTGAATAATTCATTCGTCAAATCGGGGACTGGATATTTACCGATCACTTGGACGGTTTGGACACTAGGATATTCATGCGGGAAGACATAATTTGTTGACGTTAGATACACGCTCCTTCGACCATTAGATGGCTTTTTATAATGAAAACAGTACATTTCGAAGAGAGAAATAAAGCCAGTAAACGACTTGGTAGCTAATAAGAGACTCGGATTTTTCTTTTTATTATCTTACACTTAATCATTATTTATATATTCAGCTTTTTTATATATTCAGTCTCTGCGAAATTCATAAATAATGCCGTATTCATTAGCGTTTATACACTTGAGATTAATAAGTACCCGATTATGAAATTACCGCGAGCTAAACAAATCCATTTTTCTTCTCCGTGTCAGTTTGTTATGCATTATGCATCGTGAAATATCACGTAAACACCGCGGTCGATTCTTCGACAAAATCGACTTTCAGCGCGTGTAGCTTCCTTCAACATTATATTTTATTTATTACATAGCTAATATATTAATAATGTCATTGGGGAAATAAATATAGAATATTGCACGAAAATATTATTCTATTGACTGTATTATTTGTTTGATCAAGCGGAACTCGATGCCGCCAAGAGCTGTGCGCTCGGCGCAAATATCATTAACGTAACTCACATTTCAAATTACGATATGTTTTTTTCGTTAATAGACAATGGAACTTTTCGTTGCTCGCCCTTCTGAGGAACTATCATTTGTCGAACGACGGAAATTCACCAAGGTATGTTGGCGAGATACGTGTGAACTTTCTTGAAAGAATTATAGTGCGTTCGATGATAAGGTGAATTTATGAAAATTAAGTTCGCGCTTGCAACATGTTCGCTTCATTTGCACATTTTGCATGATTTTGCGCGCACACGTGCAATTTTTTTCGCGCGCAATACGCACGCATACATTAAAAGCTTGACCGCGGCGCGAAAAAATTCCGTTTCTCCCGAGGCGGTGCGACAATTTCAGTTTATATGTGACAAACGAGAAAAATGTTAACATAGTAATAATCATAAATAATTAATAATAAAAAAAAATACATAAATAATAATTTAAAATCTAGGCAATCTAGGAAATAAGCAGCAACTGGAGAACAATCAGATGATTTTTCCCAAGCTCAAATTCGATCGATTATCTTCAAGAACGTAAGATATTGGCGTATTCTTGATTTTACTTGTAACTTTCCGCTGGGTGAAATATATATTATATTTATTAATAATCAAAGAGAAAAAGAGAAAGAAAGGAAAAAACTGTCGCCAAGGAGAAATTTCTCGATCGTATAAATAACTGCGTCTCGACAGAGATAGCTCTTCCCTGATTACATAATATTATTATTTATATTATCATACTTCATGCGACTTTGATCTTTGACTACTGGCTTTCCCAAAGCGGAGTCGGAGTCAGCATTCAAATACAAATACTCTTGCGTATCGATTACGTTCCCGATTATTCGAGGCGTATTAACAACGCGAGAATGAACTCTCGAGACCCCGAATTTTTAAGTTGATCTCGATTGACTTCATATTCATATGGGTTTCCTCTCTCTCTTTTTTTTTTTCTCTATACTTTTTCTTTCCTCATGCCAAGAATCGGCTCAAGGTACGGTGGCTTTCCATTTCCTGACAATCTATCACGGAGAGAACGAGATAAGGTCACAAGATCTCGCCCGCGCGCGGCTCTAAATCCGAGGTCCCAAGAGGAAGGAACCGCCTCGAAATCCTCAAATCATCGCGACCTCCGACATTGTCGCGGACATCCGCCCGTCCTACCCAACGATCTTGCGATCATCGCGATCCGCTCGCTCTCGTTTTCCATTGATGTTCGCGTGTGGATGTGCGGCGGTTCCGCGCGCGCGGTCACCCCCGGCCGCGCTGACATTCATTACGTAAAACAGGTGTAAGGACGCGGGAGAACGGTCGATCGCGGGGCGCCGCGCGATCGACGATGCCCCGAGGAAGACGCGGATCGCCGATCGCGGTCGCGTTTCATTCAGCTTTTCGCGCGGCGCGGCACGCGCGACGAACGGTTCCGAGCGCGCAAAAGTGGCGTACGTGACGAGCTGCCGCGGGTGAATGGAGTCGGCGCTCGTGCACCAACACATGCGCACACGTATGAGCGGACGGGTACACGGACGCGGCCGGCCGTTGTGGTGTGCGCGGCGCCGCGAGATACCCGACCCCGTGGTGTCGTCGAACAACCACCCCGATATCAATCGGCCCGTTACCGACCACGGTGTTTCTCATCAGGGACGATCGGCCTCGATCATCCCCGAGTACCTGTCGCACGTCCGCCGACGTGCCCTCTCTCATGACTTACCCCAGGAACGGGCGTACGCGACCACGAGGTTGCACAGCAGGACGAGCGTCGGCAAAAAGGTATCGCGTCTCGGCGGTGATCATGACTGGCAGTCGTTCGGCATTCGCGTGGACAGATCGAGGCGAGATGAGGAGCACGAGCGAGAACTACACGGGCCACGTATCCCTCTCTCTTTCTCTCCCCCTCCGATTTTTACGAGTACACACGCCGAGAAGCGTCACACGTCCTCACTCTGTGGCGGCCGTGCGCGGACTGAGGCCGCGCGCGCCGCGCGACACTCCGCTCGGCTCGGCTCCGCTCCGCTTCGCTTCGCTCCGCTCCGCGCGATGACGTATCCGAGGCGCCAACGAGCGAAATGCCATTTCGAATTTATCATCTCATCTCGTTAATTAATGATTAATTGCAATTTTAATATGCAGCTATAAATATATTATATTTGTATGAATTTATGAATTATTTTATAACATGTAAAGGTGCATTCTAATATAAAATAATTCTTGATCAAAAGATTAATTAATAGGCTGATGTATGTTGACAAATAACAAATATTAAATTTATTCCAGATATATCCGATATAAATAAATTCTAATTTTCACTTTTTAGAAAAAATATCCGAAGAAACTTACTTAACTCTTTCATTTTTCAAGGAATTTTTTATAATTTTATTTCTTTCATGATTTAATCATTTTTCGCTCGGTTTTATCGTCGGTTTTATTTTCTATGCTGTATTTTCTCAAATCGAAAGAATTGTTGTAGAGGCTCGGAGGTCATTTCTTTAATTTCCTTATGAGGTCGAACATTTTAATTGCTAATTGGCATGTCGCCATAATTTATTAAACCTAATTAACGCATCCACACGAAAAAGATGATTTAATTGGTATTAAATTCTATTTAAATATAAATGAATTTCAGAAATTTCGATTAGAATTACTAGATTTCTGTTTAAATTAACTCGAATTCTTACCAACTAAATTAACTGAAATTTCTGTGATTCATTTATATTATAAATAGAATTTTTTTCACGTATTATATGTCACGTACAGAATCATTATCATTTATCATTTATCATTTTCTTAATTCTAAGCGATTCGTTGTTGCAATAACAAAGATCTTTCGTACTTGACATTTTTTTTTTCAACGAGTGCATTTTCCACGTTCACCTTTCAGCGAATTTTCTTTTCGTTCTTTTCGTTACCGCAAGTCACGTTGACTTCTAATTCCTATGCATGAAATGGAATAGTAAGACGAACAGAAACCGCAGTCAAATCAGATTATGTAACCGCAACGATAGACGCGGTTAGATGAAGGAATTTACGAAGAACGACGGATCTCCGTTTAATTGCGCGAAAGAACGTCGCATTGGCTACGAGCTGCGCCTTAGATTCTGTTAATCCATTCTATTTTATCTGCATTTGATGTTTTATGCGAAAAGCGGATGTCCGAGATGACTCGAAATCGGGTGTGCGATCGATCGCTACGCCACTGTGCAATCGCGTGCCTTGGCTCGCGACTCGTGGCCGGCACGCGCCAATCTTTCTCTCGCGCTTCCATTTAAACGCATCGAGATCTTACCTCGGTCCTCGCTATTCAAAAGCCATTAGCTTTATTACGCACTTGGCGTGTAATTTAAGAAAAATTTTTTTACTGAACTTTTTTATAATGAATATTTAAGTTGGAGTAGATGTGAATGCGTATGTTCACATGTTCGTTTAATCGAGTAGTATAAAATATTTTTCGTATGCGTTATAAAAATTGAAAGCGCAATAATTATAATATAATATATGTGTGTGTGTGTGTGTGTGTGTGTATATATATATAATAACAATTATTTTATATGTATATATTAATAGTATATAAAAATATGTAAAGGATTGATTTTTCAGATTTTGAATGATTACAATTGAAGCAAGGTTTTAATAAAGCAATTTCTTTGAATTATCCTTCTATTAATATTTTGTAAATTTTCAAAGTACATAATTCTTTTTCCCGTTCTACTTATTTTTACTTATCTTAAGAAACTGATGAATAGTTTTTCAAAATTTTTTTTGAATAAAGTAAGAGTAAATTGTTAATAGTGCCAAATTATATTTTTTTAATTTTATACACAATATTATCTGTATTATAATAGCAATTTCATAATCCGAATGGAATTTCTTATAATTAAATTGCAACGTATCATAAAAAAATAAAAATTTGTAGTCCGCTAAAATTTTTAAAAATTATGTTGCTACAATCCACAGCTGATAAACAAAATTTTTATCAAAGTATGCTATTTTATCGACGCACGGTTAACATTTTATATTATTATGAATGATAAAAATTAAAAAAGAAATTAGAGAATGTGATAAAAATAACCATTATATCATCGATTATGTGCTTATGAAATTATTTAATGATAAAAGTGATAACGATAAAAAATCTACTAAAAATAAATTGTATTTGCAATAGTTAAATGTTTTGCGTTTGATTTCAATTAAAAACAAATATTTTATCTTTTCAATTTCTTATAAAATTCAGTAAATTAATATTTCATTAAAAATTTAATTAATAATTATAAGAAATATTTTTATTTTAAAAATATCTCGTATAAGAAACTGCTTCATCTTATTTTCTGAAGTATTTTTACTATTGAAAGAACTTTATACAAAAAATAAACTGCAAATGCTCTTTATTATAAATGCTTTATTACTTTGAAACGTTGCGTAGTTGTATTTAATTTAAGACAAAATATTTTATAAGATAAATAACCCATAATTGCAATTTCAATTTCCGTTTTTATTTAAAAAGATTTATAATTTATACTGAAATTACTTGCTGTAAATACTTGCAATTTCCTATGCAAGATTGGTCTATCATTAAGTGTCGATGTCATGTAAAGTGTAAATGTAGAGAAAGTCGAGAAAGTCGGCGGGAAACTCGCTTGGTTTGAACGAAACTTCAAGAGTGCAATACGCTGACAAGATTAAATCTCGCATGAATCTAAGTAATCTCTTCAGAATAATCTGAATACAAATTGCAAATATTTTAAAATAAAAACAAACGGAAATTGGAAATTGAAATTGCAATTATGAGTTGTCTCTCACAAAACATATCATTTTAATACCAAATAAAACTATGTATCTCAATGACAGCAATGAGGAATATTTGTAGCTTGTATTTTTTTTTCATCTCTCCTCACGTTTTCATCAATTTATCACAATTTATCTAGATAGTTATATTCTCAAAAATATGTTACAATTTTTAAATTTCTAATTCTGCCGTATGAAAATAATTCAAAAAATGTTCTTCCTTCAAAAATATAACTCAAATAAGCGAAACATGATTTTTTTCGCATTATTGCCTAAATAAGTGTGTACAAGAAGCATGAAATTCATTTCAACCCCTACTTGGAGAATAAAAGACTCATTTAAAAGAACGCGAAGAAATCTTATTTACAAAGTCTCGACGCCGCTCGTCCGCTCGAGGTGTCAGAATAACCCCGACGGAAAGCCTCCCCGACGGGAAGCGTTGGCTCGTGGGAAAGCGAGCGAGCGCTGTCTGGAGTGACGACATCGAGTACAGGACAAGG